CCACCGTGGCGGGGCCCGATACGACGTAGAACAACAGATTACGAAAGTAGCACTTCATGTGCAACGCGGTTAGCGCTTGGGGCTAAGGTACCGTCTCGGTCCTTGGCGAAGCTGCGGTTGTGCTTAAGGAAACTTGAAAAGCTAATCCCCTGCGTACGCATTTGTGTTGGTGATTACGTAATATTTGTGTGTACAGGTCATCACTGCAGATACCGCAGGCGTCATTCGACATCTGGAGTATAGGAAGCAGGATGATAATTATTAAAATTGCCACCATTTATAGATTCTGCCATTCGTGTTACATAGCACGCGTATTCTTCTGACACTATATAAAATGAGTTTACTGTGCTTTTAGCGATACAAGATAGGAAAAGTCAGCATTTAAGTAACGGTACTGCTTCTATGGACAATTTTATGGATGGGTTTTGGTGCCGCTATAATCAGCTGTAACCTTACTAACATGACTTGTATATTTTGTAACAACTAAACGGATAATGCTATACTTACGCGCATTATAATGGCTGGGTTGGTGCATTCCATATTTCACGACCCCATTATTTTACGTCGTGTTGTACAAAAAATAAGAAAACATGAGTTTAAAAGCCCAAAGTGGTGCTGCACGTGTGCCTTACGAAAAACATCTGTACTGGCGACCTTAGCCAACCTGAGGCGAGCATAGAGTTCGCCTGGCGCTATAGGATTTCCGACGTCGCGTCTTGTGTTATCACAGCAAATTATGTCAGCGGCACTGAAAGATGGCCTTGGAGGACAAATAAATAGAGTGAACAAGACTATATACCATAATAATAATAGTAAAAATAACGAGCGAAGTGATTATTTCTTTCTTTGCGTCTCACATACAGTTTTGTGTCGATAACTCCATTAAGGCACCGCGATTGTCGGATGCGCGCTGTAAACTGTTTTCCCGCATGCAGAATGGAGAGAAGGATTACATCATACCTAAGCGTCCGCACGGGCACAGCTTTTTGCTGATGTACCATTTATTGCCGCTTCGTTTTGTGGGGGGTTCTGTATAGGTATACGATGCCTTTTTAAAGGTGATAATTTAAGTTGATGCCATTCTTTCAATGCTGACAAAACGGTGCCATTCCGCGAAGTGCCATTTTATTCGAATTGGGTATTCGATGGTAGAAAAATCCGAGTAGGACCTTCTTTCATCTAATGTGGCTACGGATAAAAGAGCTATTTTTTTTTCGCCATGCTACCTCAGCGTTGGGATTTTCTTCTTTCATGTACGCTGTCTTGTATACATTGAACTTGTCTGCGCACTTTTTCATAAAAAACTGGGTGTGCGGCAGAGTTCTATCCTTGAAATATTTTGCGTTAAATGTCTACACTGCCTGCTTACATGCACTAGCACACTGTCCCGTCTCTCTTATATCATCTTTTATGTCCCTTTCCCCGACACAGGATAGCCAGCCGGTCTGAGGACTTGCTAACCTCCCTGTCCTTCCGTTTCTCCTCTCCTCTTTCGCCTCAAGACCTGCATTTTTCAACGCATTATTTTTCCCACATTTCGAAAGAGCATTTGTCCCCTCTATTCTATTCCCTGCCAGTAAGCGATTATATGCTAGCTAATCACTCTGGTGATTCCACCTCCCACATGCACCTCCACCTCCTACATGCATACGTCAAATAACTCACGGCCCTCAGTCCCCAGCAGCTGCGAAGCTACTGACTACGGCGGCGGTCAGATCTGCAACGCAGCAGAGGGTGCTAAGAATCTCTGGACTACAGGCCGCCATTGGAACTTGAACTTGGCAACGTTTAACGCTAGAACCTTATCTAGTGAGGGAAGTCTAGCTGTACTATTCGAGGAGCTAGAGGGTGTTAAATGGGATATAATAGGGCTCAGTAAGGTTAGGAGGACAGATGAGGCCTATACGGTGCTACAGAATGGGCACGTCCTTTGCTATCGGGGCTTGGCAGACAGAAGAGAACTGGGAGTGGGGTTCCTAATTCACAGAAACATAGCTGGCACCATAGAGGAATACTATAGCATTAATGAAAGGGTGGTAGGTATTGTAATTAAACTGAATAAAAGATACAAGATGAAGGTAGTACAGGCTTACGCGCCTACATCCAGCCATGATGACGCTTCAGTTGAAAGCTTCTATGAAGACGTGGAATCGGCAATGAGTAAGGTAAAAACACAGTATACTATAGTGATGGGCGACTTTAATGCAAAGGTAGGGAAGAAGCAGGCTGGAGACCAGGCAGTAGGAGATTATGGCATCGGCACTAGAAACGCCAGAGGAGAGCTACTAGTAGAATTCGCAGAACGCAATAATTTGCGGATTTTGAATACCTTCTACCGAAAACGAGAAAACCGCAAGTGGACATGGAGGAGCCCTAATGGCGAAAATAAGAACGAAATAGACTTTATAATGACTGCACACCCAGGAATCGTGCAGGATGTGGAAGTGGTTGGCAAGGTACGATGCAGTGACCATAGAATGGTACGGTCTCGAATTCGCCTGGACTTGAAGAAGGAACGACAGAAACTGATACGCAAGAAGCCAATCGATGAGCTAGCACTGAGAGGGAAAGTACAGGAATTCAGAGTGTCGCTGCAGAACAGGTACTCGGCTCTTAGTGAGGAAACCAACCTTAGCGTAGATACAATGAATGATAATCTGACGAGTATCATTACGGAGTGTGCAGTGGAAGTTGGAGGCAGGGTAGTTAGACAGGACACTGGCAAGCTTACCCAGGAAACGAAGAACCTAATTAAGAAGCGTCAAATCATGAAAGTGTCAAGTACAACAGACGAAATAGAACTGGCAGAGCTTTCGAAGTTGATTAATAGACGTAAAGTATGCGATGTAAGAAGGTATAACATGGAGAGAATTGAACACGCTCTGAAAAACGGAGGAAGCTTCAAAGCAGTGAAGAGGAAACTTGGGATAGGCAAAAGTCGGATGTATGCACTAAGGGACAAAGAAGGCAAAATAACTACCAATATGGATAGGATAGTTAAAATAGCGGAGGAGTTTTACAGAGATCTGTACAGTAGCCGAGACAACCACGGCGTTAATACTATAAGAACTAGCAGTAACCCAGATGACACCCCACCAGTAACGATTGAAGAAGTCAGAAAAGCTTTAGAGAGCATGCAAAGAGGCAAAGCTGCTGGTGAGGATCAGGTAACATCAGATCTGCTGAAAGATGGAGGACAGATTGTGTTAGAAAAACTAGCCACCCTGTTTACGAGGTGTCTCCTGACGGGAAGGGTACCAGAGTCTTGGAAGAACGCTAACATCATCTTAATACATAAGAAAGGAGATGACAAGGACTTGAAGAATTACAGGCCGATCAGCTTGCTCTCTGTAGTATACAAGCTATTTACAAAGGTAATTGCTAACAGAGTAAAGAAAACATTAGAATTCAATCAACCAAAGGAACAAGCAGGATTTCGAACAGGCTACTCAACAATTGACCACATTCATACTATCGATCAGGTAATAGAGAAATGCTCAGAGTATAACCAACCACTATACATAGCCTTCATAGATTACGAGAAGGCGTTTGATTCAGTAAAAATATCAGCCGTCATGCAGACACTGCGGAATCAGGGCGTAGATGAAGTATATATAAACATTCTGGAAGAAATCTACAGGGGATCAACTGCTACCATAGTGCTTCATAAAGAAAGCAACAGAATACCAATCAAGAAGGGTGTAAGGCAGGGGGACACTATCTCCCCAATGCTATTTACCGCGTGCTTACAGGAGGTTTTCAGAAGCCTAGAATGGGAACAGTTAGGGATAAGAGGTAATGGAGAATACCTTAGTAACCTGCGCTTCGCCGATGACATTGCATTGCTGAGTAACTCAGGGGACGAATTGCAACTCATGATTACGGAGTTACACAAGGAGAGCAGAAAGGTGGGTCTTAAAATTAATCTGCAGAAAACGAAAGTAATGTACAACAACCTCTGAAGAGAGCAGCGCTTCGAGATATGTTATAGTGCACTTCAAGTTGCAAAAGACTATGTCTACTTAACGCAGGTAATAACCGTGGAGCCGAACCACGAGATCGAAGTGAATAGAAGAATAAGAATGGGGTGGAGCACATTTGGCAAGCACTCTCAAATTATGACAGGTGGATTGCCATTATCCCTTAAGAGGAAGGTATATAACAGCTGTATCTTGCCGGTACTTAGCTACGGAGCAGAAACCTGGAGACTCACAAAGAGGGTTCAGCTTAAATTGAGGACGACGCAGCGAGCAATGGAAAGAAAAATGGTAGGTGTAACCTTAAGAGACAAGAAGAGAACGGAGTGGATTAGGGGACAAACGGGGGTTAAGGATATCATAGTTGAAATAAAGAAGAGGAAATGGACATGGGCCGGGCATGTAGCGCGTAGACAGGATAACCGCTGGTCATTAAGGGTAACTAACTGGATTCCCAGAGAAGGGAAGCGGGTTAGGGGGAGACAGAAGGTTAGGTGGGCAGATGAGATTAAGAAGTTTGCGGGTATAAATTGGCAGCAGCAAGCACAGGACCGGGTTAACTGGCGGAACATGGGAGAGGCCTTTGTCCTGCAGTGGACGTAGTCAGGCTGATGATGATGATGATGAATCACTCTGGTTTAAGTGAAGAGCTATTTTCAGTTTTTCTCGTTTTACCTTTGACGTACGCAGTGTGTCTTGTTCGCGTGTTTGTTGTTCCGGTAATCTACCTGCTTTTCTGCTAAATGCAGCGCTTCAGCTCTATACAGTGTACATGATTTAAGGTGCACGACAACACAACCTCGAGAAAGGGCATGGGACGGGACGCGGTTGCGCTCTTTCGCACCTTAAAGCAAATATTAACGCTCAACAACTCGCCCAACACAAGTTTAAGCTGCGGTGAACCCTGTAAATAGTGGGAATATATTAACTGGTTGCAATTTTTTTTTCATACAAACTGTGGAGGCATAATGGAATCCTACGCTGTCCCTTCATTTAAAATCGTTCGAACTTCGATGTTCGCAGCTGGGACGGCCTGGACCGGTCGTCGCCGACGCCGCCGCCGGAGAGTCCCGACGCCTCGTCGGCGTGCCCGGAGACGAGCCCGCTGATGGAGGCCTCCTCCAAGCCGGTCACCATCCAACGGAGCGCCTCCTTCAACTTCCCTTCCACCAGCCAGCGGAACAGCGCCAATGTGGCCGCGGGTCAGTGGGGCTTTCATTGAGCACGTGCCTCGACCGTCTAATACTCGCTCGCGGGCTGCAGGGTGTATATAACTTGTGCTGATTGAAATGTGTGGTGGGGGCACAGTTTGGTGATTCTCTTTATAGTCCAGAGGCATATATTTTAATTTCATCTGCTTGTTTGTGCATGGAATGAATGGTTTGTTGACGATCTGAAAGCTTCGTTTTGAGAAAAATTTTTCCTCTTTCATTGCTTCGCGCGAGATTGTAGGAAATCGTGACGAGAAACTTAGTTTTTCGCTTCTTCTTGCGTACTTTCATCATCCTCAATTGCGTCGTCGCCAACCGTACTACGTCTCGCTGTCAGCGCCTCATTTACGCTTTGCCAACCTGACTTGACAAGCGTAACTGCCAAGTCTGCGAGCTGCTTGCTAGTTGCACAATGGTGTTCCGCGAAGATTTCTTCGACACAACGAACAGCTCGCTTTCTTTGTTTTGCTTCATCGACAATGCAGTCATTTGCGGCGTACTACGGCGTGCTGCATTGACGTTTCCCGAGCAGTCCCCGCTTACCTCGGACTAAGTATAGGTGCGACGCTGAGGAGCAGCAGCAGTCGAGGACAGTGAGGAATCGCGGAAAAGCACTGATTCGCGAAGGAAGTAACTAGGAAGGCAAGGCATTCTCGGCGGCACTGCGTGCTTTGTCGTGCGTGCTTAGGCGGCCTAAGGAGCGGCCGCCTAAGAGCGACTATAGCACGCCCTTTTCTGTGAGCTTACCGTCGTCGACTGCCGTCACTGGGCTTCCAACCGTCGTCATGGATTGGCCCACTTGAGGACTCGCTGCAGGACACGTCGGTCTGTTGAACGAGTGCTTATACTTTTTTTTTTATATTTTATTATCTTTAAAGACACCGTGGATAGCTGAGAAGTTCGCGGCGTCACTCAGCACGTCTGCATGGTTGTCTCTCTGTCTCATTATGAGTGCGTTGCGTTGCGAAGCGCGTTAGCCCGGCTGATTGTTGATTGTCTGTTGTAATATATGTGGTGTAATGTGCGTCTGTTGGCATAGGCGTACGCGCAGGGGGAGGGCAAGAGGGGCGGCCGCCCCTCTCCCCTCTAGTCACCTATAGCAGGAGGGCACAATGTCAGTCATATACAATGACATAAAAGGGAGGGGGAGGGCGAAATCAGCCCCTTACATTGATATGATAGAGTTTGGGCGCTGTAACGAACCTTTGCTCCCACCTCTCCGTGAAGGGGAACCACATATCCATTTCTATTGTTACTTGTGGTGTAATGTGTGATCGTCTGTGGTAGTATGTGACGTTATGTGTTATTGTCTATTGAAACATATTGTTTTTGGTGTTGTAAAATATGTGGTTCTCGCACTACTGTGCCTTTTCTTCAACGTACCGTCTATGTCTATTGTTACTTGAGGTGTAATGTGTGATCGTCTGTGGTAATATGTGACGTTACGTGTTATTGTCTATTGAAACATATTGTTTTTGGTGTTGTAAAATATGTGGTTCTCGCCACTCCTGCGCATTTTCTTTACCGTACCGCTCTTCCCCGGTCACTTGGTAGCCAAGTGTATGCAAAAGTTTCGAATAAGCTATGACACTGCGCTATGTGGCTTTGTATGACGCAGGTGAAAGCATAGAACATTTGTTTGAATGACCTGAAGGAGAGAGAAGGAACAGCTAGAAAAGGAAACGTCGATGCATGTCCCGTCATTCACGCCATGCGATGTGCGCCTGTGATCACATGTCACGGCAGGACCTGATGCATCGTGATATGTAATTTCCGCTAATTGTGCGATGAACGTGCGTCATTTATGCCATGACGTCACTCGTGCAGCTCCGCGATGCTGTGTGCATCCGGTGGAAATACGTACAACGAGTATACGTCACTTTTGGTAAGATAAACCTTTGAAACTGGCAGCTAAGGAAATTCTATGTGGATTCCATAAATAACAAGGCTTTTCGTGGTCGGATACAGGATAAGATTATGACGCACGTCGTAGTGAGCGACTCGGAATTATTTTTGCCAAATTTCGCGCATGCGCAATATCGTGTGTCAAAGCAGAAGCTTGACTCGCCAGGAGGCGTGAGAGTAGAGTATATGGCGCTGGCTCACAGATCCCGTGTTAAGTAGTACTACTCTCCAGTTTAGTACCGCTTATTCCTTGAATGCGTGGCTTATGTGACAACGACGATTCATCTAAGATCACGTGATCGCGATCAGCCACTGCGAGAAAGACGCCTCCTGGCGGTTGTGACCGTACGTCCGTCATTTCACTTGCTCGTTAGATGTGTCGTCCACAGGCGAATCCCGTCGCAGTATGAGTGTTTCCCGTTATGATTGATCGTACGTACCACCGAAAGTCGACTAAAGGACCCACTGCTGGTAAGCTTGATGCGCTTCACAGTTTATCATGAAAAAAAGGTTAAGCTCGTCAACGCCAGTACAATTGAACAAAAACAAACACCACAAACGCCTGTGGTGTCTGTTTCATGTTTGTGTTTACCCGCCTGGCTTTTTTTTTTTAATGTATATAAAGCGTCGAATCCTTGCTAACTAGCTTAGTTCGCGGTCGCTCGAAAGGGCGCACAGCATAGTACTCGCGGATTTAAACGCGAAAACTTAGGGTTAAGTAATGCACGGACTTCCGTTTCCAGCGTCCACACTTGGTGTCATATCCGCGTAATTTTGACTCGGGACACCCACATCAGAGCAAACATCACCTTTAGCTGTACTTTTTCAGGGGCTAGTTGGTGACGCATCTTTAAAGGAAATGCGCAATCTTAGACACCTTGTCTTACCATCTATCGTGGTGTCTAAAACTGTACCTTTACTTTCAAGATTACTTTTAGTGGTATGACGCTCTTATCAGGTGCAGTCGCTCATCGCAATCGTTGCATTAAAGGTAACCGATGTCGCGCTTCATTTCGCGAGTACTGTATCATTCGCGTCCTTTGAGAATTCATTTACGGGAGGTTGACGTTGCCGTGCTTTTGCCAGGCAACGCCGAGGTGTGCCCTCCTCCTCCGGGCAAGTCCAGCGACGACTCCGGCCTGGGCACGGGCAACAGCCCGCGGAACAAGAAGCCCGCGCTGACCATCGACATTCAGCGGATCCCGCCGTCGCGCGCCAGCTCGTACGGCGGCTCGCTCTGCAGCCTGCCCACCAGTAGCAACGGGAGGATGTACAGCGCGCGCCGGACGCACGGAGACTTGTGAGTACATCCACTGTACTATACTGCACGCCAAACGTACGAACGCCGAGAACACCGAAAAAATGTGCACAATGTGGTACAAGGGTATCTTGGCATTCATTGCCGAGATTGTGGGTGCACCCCCGGGCCTCTTTGATCGGTGCTCTATATTGGCAAGGCACAGGGACCAGCTTGCCCAAGAAATTATCGAAGCCGAAAAAATACACTTGCTAGGAGATAAATGCGTAAGCACTTCATCGGTTGCCTTATCACAGGCTGAACGTGATTACCTGGCTGGGCTTTGAGGCAATAGAGAACCCGTCACACGTGCTTTGTTACTGACGTGTAGATTAGGCTTGCTTTTTACCTTCATGCTCTGTAATCATCCTTTTTAGACGTATATATTCTTGCCACTCTGTGAAATAAAGTTAGTTGGAAGTCGGTGCATTCTGTCTACCCTGTCCTTTTTCCTTTGTTCGCGCGCAGAAACAATCTTGCAAATATGACTACGCGCCAACTAGCCCAAGCTTCCACTCTTGTACGAACGAGCACAGGACACTTGTAATTGCGAATGCAAGATGATTCGCTCACATCGGTGACTGCAGCAACGGCCGCGCGACCAAGTTGCGTAAATAATTGGGGGGGGAGGGGGGGGGAGGTTATTGGCCTGTGGTCAGGGCGATAGTTTAGCGCGAGAACAGAATGGCGACAAAGAGACAAAGGTTCTCGCGCTATAACTATCGTCATGTCATACCAAACTAGCCCAAACTGCCACACTTGTGGTCGGGCTGGGTTGGGGGGACACCGTTTGTGAATGTCCCCCCCCCCCCTTGATATTTAGCTTTCGAACATCACATTTATTTCGCTCGACTGCCAAGTATTGTGCACTATTGACAATACAGCTCGGCTTAATACAACCTACACTATAGAAGGTGTACACGGCGGTGAATGGAGCTCCGGTTAAACAGCTGTACTTTAACGTGCTAGCCTTTGCACTCATTGTCCAACTCGAAGTTGCAAATTTACTAGAAGTATGCCAGAGCCCATTCGGGAATTAATATTCGAAAGTTTACTTCGCCAGCCCACGTTGCTGCCATTGACTGCTCGTTGCTGCAGCTCCCTGGCCCGGCGCCGAGACCCATGCTCGCTTCATACATTTTATTACAAGTCACGCCTTTTAATTTTTGCATAACTAAAAATGAGACATATATTTATGAAAACCAAATGGCCGCCTTGGCAAGATGTGTGTCCCCCTTGCGATTTTTCTGGATTTTCGCCACTGTCGACCAGCGCCTGCTTGCTGGTCAAGTCGCTCGCTGCTCGACTTGTCATTCGCAAACCCCTCATTTAATCACGCGTGCAGGAATAGGACGCCAAGCTTATTTTATAGTGCAGTGGTAATGCCAGTAAACGTGCATTTTGGGATATCTGGTACAGGTCACACACGCAGGCGTGAACGTCGGTCACCTAGAGTCGCTTTTTGGTCGCCATTCGCAAATGGTCGCGTGACTGGTCGCATGAGGGAATCGGCCTTTGTAGTTGCATGCACGCTCCGGTGCAAAGGTTTAAGACGAAGTGAGTTCTGCGTCGTTCTGCTTTGTTCTGCTTTGTTTAGGCACTCTGTATCTGCATGTTTTTTTAGATTGTGTCGGTCGCATTACTGCGAAAGTAACCTTCGAATCGTGGCGTTGTGCCCAGGGCATCCCGAGAAATTATTGCCGTGAAAAGTAAACGTATCAAAACAAGTAACCCATGAGTTGGTACGTTATGTCTCTGCGATATCGCTATTGGGCCAGAAATATCAGGTTAGCAATTGTTGGGCGCTGTCGACGCACTGTACGTTTGATTTTCGCACGCGTACCTTGCCGCCCACGAGGCAAAGCTTCATAAACTCACGCTTTGGGTTTGCTTTTCTCTAAGTCTGTCGTTTTCGCAGGAGTCCGGAAAAAATAATGGATTTCCGAAAGTTATATATGCGTTTTCCTTCTGTTGCTTTTTTTTTTCGATGAGCTTCAGGAAATGAACAAGATCAGTGTCAGCCGACAAACCCGTTTGCCCACCTTTCAAAAAAAGAAACGCATACACGCATGCAAGTAAATAAAGAACCAAGAATGAACGATGTGATCTGGAAGAAAAAGGGGCGGGGGGGGGGGGGGGCGACGTGCAACAGGCTACACTGAATAACTTCACTCCATCACCGACAAAGTACAAGCTGGCTGATGTACTTGGTCAATCCGTCTTTGTTTCCCAGGGACTCCCTGGTAATTATGCTGAGTGCCCTCTACGCCAAGCTGCTCGTGATCATGGGAATCTGCTTCCCACTGGCTGAAGTGATCTCAAAGAAAATACCCGTCTCGTTCTACGAGGTAAGCGCGCGCACGCTCGACTTTAAGGCGTCTTTTTTGTTTTACGACCCATTGTGTGACGCCTTATACACGCACGTCACGACTATACATTTTGGTTGTCGTGAATCCGTTGTAATAGCTTTGTAAAGTGGTTCCAAACTGGGCGCTGTTGTGTGCATGCGTGTTTTTTCTTCTTCTGTCATTCTCGTTACTTATTTTTGTACGGAACACCGCTTCTAAATCTCGGTGCCTGATTGCGTCGCGTGCAGCTCCCGTGAATGCGAGGAAAACTGCCTTTGCTTCGTCGGCGAAATTTTGCGCGGGGCGCCATTGCATTTTACGTGCGCACGGCGTACGCTGGTTACCAGGACTATCACGATTCCAGCAAAGCAAACTTAGCCTGTTCATTTCGCACCTTTTGTTTCGCATGTGTGGTTAGGTAAGCAATTATCTAATTGGCAAGTGCTTCATGAGGCAAATTACGTGTGGTTTGCGCCGCACTTTCCCCGAGGACCGCTGGTGCTGCAAATTTCAGGCAATTAGAAACGGCTATGCAGATTAACCCTCTTTTTCCCGCTTTTAATGACCGGACAGCAACTGTCCTTAAGACAACCGCTACATTTTCGACTATAGGACAGGGTAACATGAACGACCCGCATGTATACGCGACACAGGGCTTCTACCTGTACCTGTACTTCGGCAGCATCGCCTTCCTGCTGTACGTGTACGTGTTCCTGTTGCGCCACGACAAGGTCAACTCCAAGTTGGACCACCTGACCGACAGCTTCGGCGACAAGGTTCGCCGCCTTCTGGGCTTGCGCACGTCCCGCGGCACCAACATGGAGATCCCGCCCACGCCCAAGAAGCGCGTGCACGATGCCACCACGCACGCCGGCAGCTTCTACCTCAGGCTGGGTGCAGTCGGTAGGTGCACAAATGCAGTGCATTGATTGATTGATATCTGGGGTTTAACGTCCCAAAATTACCATATGATTATGAGAGACGCCGCATTGGAGGGCCCCGTAAACTTCGACCACCTGGGGTTCTTTAACGTGCACCCAAACCTGAGCACACGGGCCTACAGCGCTTTCTGCCTCCATCGGAAATGCAGCCGCCGCAGCCGGGATTCGAACTCGCGACGTGCGGGTCAGCAGCCGAGTACCTTAGCCACTAGACCTACCACGGCGGGGCACAAATGCAGTGCAGTTACTGCGGAATTAGGACTGCGCGTGCTTAAGATCGATAAGTGTCATTTGGTACGTCTCGTTTCTGGTGTACACATACAGAAATCAGTCATTCGATACTCGGGGATAGGGACAGGTCGCGCTACACCAATACGCCACGGGCCCCGCCGCGGTGGTCTAGTGGCTGAGGTACTCGGCTGCTGACCCGCAGGTCGCGGGATCGAGTCCCGTCTGTGACGGCTGCATTTCCGATGGAGGCGAAATTGTTGTAAACCCGTGTACTCAGATTTGGGCGCACGTTAAAGAACCCCAGGTGTCAGTATTTCTGGAGCCCTCAACTACGGCGTCTCTCGTAATCATATGGTGGTTTTGGGACGTTAAACCCCACAAATCAATCAATCAATCACTGCGCCACGGGTTATACTTTCCCTCATCAATCACTTTAGTATAGTTGCTTTAACGTATCGTGCTCATAATACTGAATGGTGGTTTATCATAGTTTCACGAAGTATTGTCCACTAAACAACTATGAATGTCTATACGTAATCATCTGACTATTCTGCTCAACGTAGAACTACGCTACTAGCCACGTAGTTTCGTCCTCAGGTTCAGCCACCAGAAAAAAAAAACTGTTCTTGTTCGAAGTTTTCTCTCGTTGTGCCTTTCGTCAATTAAACTCAACCATATGCGATGAGAAAGGAACGTTCTCCATCCCTGATTTGGCCAATAGACATGTCAGACGGGTTGTTCGGAAGGTGATTGATCGAAAATGCGGGCGCTGTAAATAAGCTCTGCATTCAAGCAATGTCTGGCGATGAAGCTGTAACATCCGAGGCCTCGGGAATGGTGGTCCGCTCCTCTTCCAAGCCTGCAGCGTCGAATGTTGGTGATGCAGATATGGCAGATAAGTGGCGCATAGCGTAAATACACGACAATGTTTCAATTTGCGCTATTCAGTGATGCCATGCACGGTGAGTTGCTCCATAGTAACTTAGAGGTGCGACTGTTTTGGCGAGTTGGTTGTTCGTGTCGAAATATAGTTGCAGCGTCTGCCGCTTCTTCTGTCCGCCTTTCTTCTGCTTTGTAACTATTTCACTTCCATGGTAAGTTTTATCTTCGGAAAGGAGTGACCGCTCGAAGCGTGGTGGTTCGTTGTCTTGTGGAATCGAATCAGCGGCGGAGGATGAACCGAAGGGAGCGAGGAGGAACGGACGAGAGGGTCACCAGGCTGTTTAGTGACTGTGTGCGGGGCGCAATCGGGTTGACACGTGGACGAACGGTGGCTGCGGTTGACCTTGGGATGCGTGCTTCCTGCCTTCGCTTTGAGCCGCCGCGTCCGACGACCGTGGAACCGAAAACCTCCGGTCCTGCTTCTCGGTTAATGGTTCCCACGAAAGCGCTGCAAGCGGATAACTTCGCTGATTTGTTGCGTTGTGGGGCGTCTGAAAGTCTAACCTTTCCTCGACTCGTTCAGCTTCGTAGAATAGATGCAACGGTGTGCTCGCTGAATTATCGTGGCACAAAGAGCCTGCCTGAGTCAACTGTCCGGCCATGACGCTTGCAGAGACGCACCTGAAGTTATACGGTTCGGTACACGCCTCCCTCTTCGATTTTGTCAAGCGTAGATTTTGTCAAGGGTAGAGTCTCTCGCCTCAAGAGAGTAAGAACGGAGGTAAACATGCATATGCTGTGTCAAACCGCTGCTATTTCAGCGCCGGCCATCTTTTGTTAACTGGACTGTTCTTTCTTATGACGCCAACGATGTCGCATGGCGGTCGTTTTTCTCGCTCTGAATCAGGGGCGTACAGGCGGACATTTTTTTTTTTTCGGGAGCGGGTGTGGGCGCACCTCTCTGATCTGAAAGAAGGGTGGGGTCAGGCAAGTGGTAATTTTCCACTTAATTTCGGGGGATGAGGTGTATGAGCCTGGTGTGCCACCTTCTGGCTACGCTTCCGCGCTGAATTAGACATTTGCGATTGCCGCTCCGTACTACTACAGAAGGAAAGACTACCTGTGTAAAGGAAATCGATATTGCTATATTCACGCTCGCTAGCGTCACCGGTCGTTGGCTATTTTAAGATTGCTTGATTACTTGGCGCCAACTGGCCAAAATTCACGTGTTCAAACCATTTTTTTTTCACCGTAAAGCGCTTTCTTTCTATTAATTGCGTTGCAAAAATCAGTACCTTTGATTGCCAACCCTCTTCCCCGACACACATTTTCTTTTCTTTCTTTATCTTTTTCCTTTCAGCTTTTGGAACCGGGAGCATGATCTATTCGGGGCTCGAGTTCGGCCAGTTCTTCGAGATGGAGTCCGATTCCAAGTGCTACAACATCCTCTTCAGCCTGACGCCCGCCACGCGGATGGCATTCACGTTCTTTCAGCTCTACTTCATCTTCATCAACTCGAGGGTGAGCGGATACTCCGAATTATAAGCCGGAACGACTGCTGATCCTCTTTGTCCTTACTATCGTTTTTCTTTTGTTCATTGAGCATTACGAATGCGTGACTTGACTAGTCTCAAGTTCTTGTTTTCGAGATGCGAAGCAGTCGGCGTAACGCGATTTCTTTTTTAGATCAAACACACCCAAGTGCTACACGGTCGCGTGGCATTTGCGCCTCGCCGAAGGAGCGGACGTGCCTCTGAATTGGAACAGTGTGCCGTGCTTTACACTTATCAGAAACAGTAGAAATCTCCCAAGTTGATTAGCGGTGTATCGGCGTGCGGTCGATTGTCCTTTCTGAGAAAGAATTGCGAAATCTAGGTGCATGTGATAGCAGTAGGTGAACCATTCTGAACGAGTTTTCCGTTTTGAATGTATAGCTAATACCTTTATCTCGTGAGCTCACTAGTTATCACTGGATAGGGTTTCGGTATTCGTGGAAGTGGTGCAGGCGGCTGTTATATCGTTGTAAATGTGTCCAAACAATAAAGCATAATTTAAAAGTAGCGATTGTGTGTTTCGCAATTCGTTTCGTCTATTGTCTTGGAAGTTGCACTAAGCAAGAAGTTATGCATTAACTAATAGCCCAAAACATGCACATTGTGTAACGTCACGGGTGCAGCGTTGGCTTAAAAATAGCAATGTTGATAGCCGCCTTATAAGTGAGAACTTCCAAGAAGAAAAGCTTGCAGACTTAGATCAAATAAACCTTCGCAAGGCGTTTCCCTTTTTTTTTTCTGTTTGTAGTGGTTAAACCGCTTGTCTTGGTTCGCAGTACCTTACGCGAACTGAGATATTTTCGTCTTGGCTGGTCAATGAACTCGCGCAGCTGCATGCCTCGGGGAAGACAAAACATCGTTTTCGCGGTGTTCTTTTTTTTTCTACCTTTTTTTTTTTCTCGTGATGTTGTGGCGGAAATGGGCGTGCACTCCTGGCGTAGTTTTCTAGGCATGTGTTTGGGGGAGCTGTGAAACGACGGGGCGTTTCAGCGTGACATTGCCGCTCCCGCATTTTTGACGGGACACGGATTTCTCGCTCTTAGCCCTGCGAGAAACGCCCATTAATAGCTCCCCCGATTAGCTTGACGGTGAGGTGTCGCGTGCGCTGCCTTTGTGTACATGCGATGTTTTGTTCCTGGCTTGTGTTTACATCCGGTTATGTTCATTGAATAGTTTAAAAAAATGCTGATGACACTGAATTACACTTCAACCGCGAGCCTAGCTGTATGAGAGCAGTAATCCAGTGCTCGGAGCTCGCTGTTGGGCTCGTTTGTGCATGTCTGAATTAGTCGCTTTCGCGCCAAAAACACGACCACACGGAAGAAGCGACCACACGAGCGCTCACTTGTTATCACTTTAGGGTTTCACTTGTTATCACTTTAGGGTTTCACTTGTTATCACTTTAGGGTTTCACTTGTTATCACTTTAGGGTTTCACTTGTTATCACTTTAGGGTTTCACTTGTTATCACTTTAGGGTTTCACTTGTTATCACTTTAGGGTTTCAATTGTTATCACTTTGGGGTTTCAATTGTTATCACTTTGGGGTTTCAATTGTTATCACTTTGGGGTTTCAATTGTTATCACTTTGGGGTTTCAATTGTTATCACTTTGGGGTTTCAATTGTTATCACTTTGGGGTTTCAATTGTTATCACTTTGGGGGTTTCACTTGTTATCACTTTGGGGGTTTCACTTGTTATCACTTTGGGGGTTTCACTTGTTATCACTTTAGGGTTTCACTTGTTATCGCTTTAGGGTTTCAATTGTTATCGCTTTAGGGTTTCAATTGTTATCGCTTTGGGGTTTCAATTGTTATCGCTTTGGGGTTTCAATTGTTATCACTTTGGGGTTTCAATGTTATCACTTTGGGGTTTTCAATTGTTATCACTTTGGGGTTTTCAATTGTTATCACTTTGGGGTTTTCAATTGTTATCACTTTGGGGTTTTCACTTGTTATCACTTGGGGTTTCAATTGTTATCTTTACACTCATACAGAAACAGTAGAAATCTCCCAAGTTGATTAGCGGTGTATCGGCGTGCGGTCGATTGTCCTTTCTGAGAAAGAATTGCGAAATCTAGGTGCATGTGATAGCAGTAGGTGAACCATTCTGAACGAGTTTTCAGTTTTTAATGTATAGCTAATACCTTTATCTCGTGAGCTCACTAGTTATCACTCTAAGGTTTCTTTATTCGTGGAAGTGGTGCAGGCGCGCTGTTATACCGTTGTAAATGTGTCCAAACAATAAAGCATAATTTAAAAGTAGCGATTGTGTGTTTCGCAATTCGTTTCGTCTCTTGTCTTGGAAATTGCACTAAACAAGAAGTTATGCATTAACTAATAGCCCAAAACATACACATTGTGTAACGTCACGGGTACAGCGTTGGCTTGAAAATAGCAATGTTGATAGCCGCCTTCTAAGTGAGAACTTCCGAGAAGAAAAGCTTGCAGACTTAGATCAAATAAACCTTCGCAAGGCGTTCCCTTTTTTTCTGTTTGTAGTGGTTAAACCGTGTGTCTTGGTTCGCAGTACCTTACGCGAACTGAGATATTTTCGTCTTGGCTGGTCAATGAACTCGCGCAGCTGCATGCCTCGGGGAAGACAAAACATCGTTTTTGCGGTGTTCTTTTTTTTCCTACCTTCTTTCTTGTAATGTTGTGACGGAAATGGGCGTGCGCTCTTGGCGTCTGTGTTGGGGGAGCGGTGAAACGACGGGGCGTTTCAGCGTGACATTGGGCTGTTGCCGCTCCCGTATTTTTTTGACAGGACAGGGAGTTCTCGCTCTTAGCCCTGCGAGAAACGCCCATTAATAGCTCCCCCGATTAGCTTGACGGTGAGGTGCCGCGTGCGCTGCCTTTGTGTACATCCGATGTTTTGTTCCTGGCTTGTGTTTACGTCCGGTTATGCTCATTAAATAGTTTTTTTTTTTTAAAATTGGTGATGCTTCTGAATTACACTTCAACCGTGAGCCTAGCTATATGAGAGCAGTAATCCAGTGCTCGGAGCTCGCTGTTGGGCTCGTTTGTGCATGTCTGAATTAGTCGCTTTCGCGCCGAAAACACGACCACGCGGAAGAAGAAAACACATAGATAGGACGGGCGCTCACTTGTTATCACTTTAGGGTTTCACTTGTTATCACTTTAGGGTTTCAATTGTTATCACTTTAGGGTTTCAATTGTTATCACTTTAGGGTTTCAATTGTTATCACTTTAGTGTTAGTGTTATCACTTTAGGAGTAAATAGTTGCAAGTGAGTGCCCGTCCTGTCTGTGGGTGTTTTTTTTTCTTCTGTGTGGCCGTGTTTTTGGTGCGCAATTGACTATTTAATCCTGTGCTCAGAGCGTAGTTTCACTCCAGTGCGCAATTCTTCACAAGAAGTGATTATATATGGATGCTTATTAAAATTATGTATGGTTGCTTATATTGATAATGTAATGTTTAATGTTCATGTGCACTGGGACGTTAAACCCCACATATCATGAATGTTCGTGTTCATACGTTAAAGAACCCCGGGTGGTCGAAATTTCCGGAGCCCTCTACTATATACGGCGTCTCTCATAATCATACGGTGGTTTTGGGACGTTAACCTCCACATATAAATCAAGGGTCATGTTCATGACATTCCTAACTACGAGTTGCGCAAAAAAATTATGCGATTCACTTATTCAAAATTCAGCCCTTTTTCATCTGTGAAACGTCTTTTTTTACTACCGCATCACGTTTGATGACACGTTCGATGATGCTACGTCGGGCTAGCCGACGTAGCATTCCGCGAGCATACGACCTTCGTCGGCTATCGGTCGCACTTAAATGATAGTGAGCTTGAGTGAAAGTCGATGTTCATATCATTTCGAGGCGGGGTCATCTCACGTGACCCAGAGTATAGAACTCAGAAATACATGCAACTCCCGCATATGGAACTCTCACTTAGTTCACAAGAATGCTGTTCGAATTTTCCCTCGGTGTCGAAATCGCAACGCGTGCAAGAATTCTCTGTGGCTGTCCAGAGCTGGCAGTTGTTCTGCATTCAATGGAAATACGTGGGTTTTCTTTTTTTCTTTTTTCTTAACAGGTTGCAATTAACAAGTTCACAACGTTCGCGAGGTTCGGCCTGATGCACATGATCTCCGCCAACATCTGCGTGTGGCTCCACGTCCTGATTCAAGAGACAAAGCACCAGCTCCTGGAGTTCATCCAGAGGAACGAGACCAACCTCTTGGCCATGGCTATCAATCCGATACCCAGCATCGGTACACGCTTTTTCGCTTTGTTCGCGTGCTGTTGGGGAGATTAACCGAGTTTCTATTTGCACTAAGTATCTCGTAATTAGCGTTTCTCTGATTGCGCGCCGACAGTGGGCTGGGGTTTTGTATCATTGATGTACTAGGTTACCTCTGCTGATGGCTATAAGCCTCACGAATGAAATCGGTCGCTCACTGCCGTGTAAGGTCGCCATGTTTAACTTGCGATCTGGGTTTAGCGAGGCGAATGAGCGTTCGCGGTGTCCGCAGTGTCGCTCTTGTGATTTTGTTGCTCTCGACTGCGTTGCCTCAAGACGTGAAAGTTGACCTGTTTGCGTCGTTGTCTTTTCTTCGCACGCGCGTCGTCAGCGTCCGAAGAGGAGGAGGAGCACTTGAACCCGGTGCACTACGAGACGCACTCGAAAGACCACCACCGCATCGAGAGGTCGACCGGCGAGCACGGACTGCACCACGAGACGCACAACTGCCGCCGAGCCAACATCATGGGCGAGCTGGTGCAGAACGCGAGTCCGTTCCTCTTTCCCTGCACCATCGAGTACAGCCTCATCAGCGCCGGCATCCTGTACATCATGTGGAAGAACGTGGGCTCCACGCAGCCCGTGCCCAACACTCCGGAGAGCTCGGTGCACACTCCGCGCCAGCGGCACTACTACCAGGTGGACTGCGCCAAGGCCAACAAGGGCCTCTTCACGGGAATCCTGGTGCTCGTGCTGTCCATCATCAGCCTGATCCTGTTCTTCGTGCTGATCAATAAGCCGCAGTACCGCAACCTGGCCGTCATGGAGGCCCACATCGCCGAGCTGGCCGTCTACTTCCTCGCCTCGCTGGCGACCACCACGGCGCTCTTCCAAGTGCGCGAGCTGCGCTACAACCGGCTGCGCAACACCGACCTGGACAGCATCCTCCTCATCGTGGCCCAGAGCGGGCTCTACTTGTACACCATGTTCAGCATCATAGGCAGCCACTTCACCCTCGACCAGAACACCATGCTGGCGCTGCTGACGGCGCTCGCGTGCCTCATCCAGGGTTCCCTGCAGACCATCTTCATCCTGGACGCGTCGCGCCGCTACGTCAGCAGCAGTGACCAGGCCAATCGCAAGCCCGGGCGCGAGATGGTCACCTTCCTCATAGTGTGCAACTTCTCCATGTGGGCCATCAACACGCTGGAGACTCGGCGCGCCGACTCGAACCCCGTCCAGATGACCTTCTATGGTTTCTGGGCCTGGACCATCATCACGCACGTGACGGCGCCGCTGACCATCTTCTTCAGGTTCCACAGCACGGTGTGCCTGTGCGACATATGGAAGAGGGCGTACAAGGTCAAGTCCGACTACCTCTGAGGCAGTCCCTAGCCGAACTGTGCGAAGACGCTCGCTTGCCCCAACTCCCTTTTCGTGGCGAGTTCCCACCGTGTTCTGACCAATTCTTGAGTTGCTTTTTCGCCGCACGTGAGCGCGATTTATGAATGGTCGCATTTCTGGACGAAGTGTTGGCGCACAAATGTGTGAACATGGTGTCGTGATGAACGCGCGGACATCGTGCGTGCTTTTTATCATTTTTGTTACCCCCATCGCATGTCATACTGTTGCACCGGGACAACCTTCGAAGTCGCAAATCCGCTGGTGCTTCTTTTATTCCTACATTGCATCGCCGTGTGCGGAAACGGGACCAAAAATGAAATTTGGTAATTGACAGACCATTTTCGCGCAGCTATCTTGATGGTGCTGCGGGTTACGTTAAGAAGGCGAGATAATCGCGACAGATATATACGGCGATGCTGATACTGAACGACACGGCGGATACTCTACGTCTACTCCGCTTGACCTATTGGGGCTGACACGGCCTCTGATTGGTTCGACCTGCCAAAAACGGCGGAGTTCAAATTTGCCAAAGCGCTATTTTTTTTTTCGAATTTTACGTACTGCACCCGTATAGCTACACCGTGGTATGTATAGTGCTCGCGCAGTTTACCATGCATGGCTGTTTGGCCTCGCAGTTAGCACTGGTCAGAGGTTGGTGAAACGTAGCCGCGGATTTTTATCGAACCGTGATCACGTGTGATGAATCGTTGTGGCCTCGCTTATGTGCCTGCAGTGTTGAAATGTTCAGGGCGGGAAAGCTACGTACCCGTTTGACAAGATTTGACATAGCAAGAAAGATAATGCGGCTTGCTACATTTCTACATGCATATACATGTATACTATCTATTTGCATATACAGGGCTCAATGCATTTAGAGCAAGCTAGTGTTCAAGACCTCTTGGCCTATGTAAGCAAGGCCGCCGCCAAAACCTCGCCATCATTGTCCGGAAGCTGAGCTTCGGGCGATGAAGAGCACGCAGAGTATAAAAGTGTCCTAGCGTGTATTACCTCGTATCTTCGCAGCTATTGAGTAGTCGCGCCCTGTCATCTCTTGATAGCTTTGATACCATGTGCCAAACGTGGGTGACCGCTATGCAGTTCCGCACGGAAGATGTTGCTGCCGTATTGTATGCCGTTATTAGTGTTTTTTATTTGATACATGTTCTTAATGTTCTTGTGTGGAGTTCTGTGCCAGACTCGACAAGGGCTGTTAAACGCAGTTCCTGCTTTGTACCGCCTCAGCTCAGCTTAACGGGACACTAAAGGTAAGTGCTAAGGTGTAGCTGGCGATTAACATTTTTAGAAGGTGCAAATACGTACGCCCGTCCTACCGATGGACAGATTTCTCTGTGTTGCATCAGTGACGTAAAAATTGCAGACATGTGTCGCCACCATATAGTTGGCATTCTTGAACCAGCTGTCAGGTGCACCTTCAAAGAAGTCATCCAATTACATCACATGTGCAAGAAAATGAAGCACATGAAATGACATATCTGTTGCCGACTTTTTTCTTGCCAAGGAAACACGAGTTCCTGGGAGACGGGTGACGTCACAATACCGGGCCGGCATCGCGGTCTTGGTGCAACTTCAAATGTCAATTCAATTGGCCTTCTCTTTCTTTACCGATGAGCAATCTTTTTTTCTGCCGCTATGATGCAGGGAGAGTTTTGACAGTGTAATCCGTACTATAGAGCCAGGCTCATCTCTCACATTTTGGTGTCCCTTCTAGTGCGAGGTTGTGCTCTGTCATTTTGATACTCAAGTACGGCGCTTGTTCTAATCTTGTCTGTCGTTGTTCCTTGTTGTATACTCCCACATCGTGTAATCGTGGAAATACGTGAAGTTTGTGTCAACATTGCTTTGTGTACGAACTTTGTTATCGAAAATGCGCGCACACTTACTGATTTCGTGAAGTACAAACTCTGCGTAGATGACGGAGACGCCATCAGATGTGGAAAGAGTTCCCTACGACGCTTCTATTTTTCTGGTAGCCCCACTTGTTTTACTATAGGTTGCGTCTGATGACTTTTGTACCTTGGCACTTCGTTTGCTTCGAGTACCTTGAAAGAGATTGATCACTGAAATCAGCTCTGCCAAAACCGTCAAGGTGGCGGCATGATCGTGAAGCAACAATTGCCTACAATTTATTGATGCCAACTTTCATTTTAATAAATTCATCTCACTGTGCAAAAAAATGACTGCAGCATTTTGTTAATCGATAACTTCCTTACTTTAAGTTCTCTAAAACGGCCTTGCCGAAAAAGGGTGGCCGGACTCGGCCTTCGGTGGCCGAGAAATGTTTTTTTTTTTCTCTTAAGCCTTCTTTCGAAGGAAATACGCCTGGACTTCCTCTGTCACGTCGAGCTATAACATCATGTATAGGCTTGTTTTTTCGCAATACCACTGCGACGATTTCAGTTCTGCCTTTAAAAATACACATATATACAGATGATATGCGCGCTTACATTTGGGTTGAATCGCCTGGCTGAAACGTGCCGGTAATATAATTGTTTTTATTAGATGTACCTGTGGGCGGTAAAAAAACCACCTCAAATTTGTAATGTTAATCACGTGTCCCTCACTATGGCCGGCCTCGTAATGACGTTGTAGTTTGACGCCTAAAACGCCAGGTATTTTCATAAAAGACGATAGTCTTTCTTTAAATACTTTGACCTAAAAATTTTGGTCTGTCGATTGACTTGTCCGTGTATCACCCGAAACGGCTAAAATCTAACCACATCTGCAGCACTCGCCAATAAATTGATTTGGTTTCGGCGTACATACTTGTGCGTGTCGATTAAAATACAATATTGCGCGCATCTGAGGCACAACCTCAACACTTCAATATCTGTGGCGTGTTTTTTTATACTATAAACGACGTGCATAAGTAAGTATAAGGAACGTAGCGTTTATTACGCTGCCCTGACTATGCAACGCTGTGCACGAAAAGGCGGGTGTTTTCTGCACTTTGCTAAGACGATACAGTGGGGGCATATACGCGTCTCCTTGCGTTCTACAAATAATGGCCTCCGAGATTGTACGCAACACGCCACGCGCTTGCTATATCGAAGGCCGTCCTGTCGTTTTTTATGGTTACTGCCAGATGGCGCTCATGTATCACGCAGCGCCTCGGCAAGGAATCGCAGGTAGCGTGGCGTCGCCTACAGACCCAGCCCTACACCAATCCGTAGTCCGTGCATACTGCCAAATATAGATCCCGACCCACACCCACCACAGTGCAGGTTCCGTGCCAACGAAACAGCTACTCTGTACCACGTCCACACAATCCCCCTTTCCAACTCAGTACACAACACAGCATGGAAGGGTGGGAGCACGGTGCAAGAATACTTTAGGTTAGCGAACGCCGGGACTATAGATCCGCTGCCCGATAACGTTCTGCTTCGCAAGAAGCCCGAGAGGTAGCGCTATAAACCTTGCCCCGGCTCAACGAGAAGATAATCACAAATGGAAACATAATCGATCCCTCCCCACCAAGCGCTCGCTTCGCCGCGTTCGTTCACCTAAAGTATTCTTGCGCCGTTGGTGGGAGGCAGCTCTGACCGGCTCGGATCCGAAGACCCAAGAGAGAGAGAGAGAGAGAGAGAGATAAAGATGCAAGGAAAGGCAGGGAGGTTAACCAGACGCACATCCGGTTTGCTACCCTGCACTGGGGAAGGGATAAAGGGAAGCCCTCATGAAACGTGCGAGGACAGTGGCCCGCGCCAATGGGATCCCGGACTATAGATCCCACTCACCGATTTACTTAATGTACGCTTTATTAGGAAATGTTAATAAATGTTTTGTTATTATCTCTCTCTCCAGAATCTCGTTCACCGATTTTCTCGCGCATAACATCAAATAAACGTTTCATTCACTCCCTCCAGACACAATGCTATCGTCTTTCGACGACGTTTGCAGTAAAACATGCAGATATGGGGCCATTTTTTGTTTCTTGCTGACTGTGCTCGAGGATGGAATTGCGAGATGGTATATTATCGGCTTGGCGTAATCGGAAAAGTTATTGCGGTGTGTGAGTGTTCTGTCCTTTAAGTTTGCGTGAATGGGTTAAAATTACCTATTTAACCGCTGCAGGTGCTTGCCAAAACACTTTCATTTCGCTTCGTATATGGTTAATGTTTTTTTTCGTTTTCCTGTTTTACTTTTTTTAAGGCAAAACTTTCCGTTTCGTCTTCGCGTCCCAAGTCCGGTACTCCCTTTACTCGGCAAGTGACTTCAGGCCTCACGATCATTGACCTGCATTTCAAGACAGCATGCAAATGAAACACAAGTGCACATACATGGACGAAATAACTTTTACCGAGCGTATATAGAAGAATCTAAAAACATCGCATCGGCGTTAATAAAAAAGTGCGATACAACGTGCACTGACGTGACAAGAGATCGAAGGCTCTTTATCGAAATCGATTTTGCCGTCGTTTTTGTGGCGTGCGTGCATTAATAACGGGACCGATTCAATGATTCTCAGAGTAAGATGGTGGAAAATAAATTAAAAAAAAAGAGTGAGGAAGTGTATGACTGTGGTATTTAAAGATGAAGGGAAGGAAATTTTGATTAATAGCAATACATAACGAAGACAAGGTATAGGGAACGTTAATTGAACTGTTTTTAAGTGTATTGTAATAATTGGAATGTAGATTCCGAGAAAGTGAAGTGGACGAAAAGACAACTATGCGCTGGCAGGGACCAAAGCTGCGACCACCGGATGGGTGAGATTTCCTTCTCCTTTTGTACAATTAAGTTGAGAGGTTCATAACAGGCTACAGGTAGCCTGCTTATTCACTTGTGCTCGTTAAGAAATTATACCAAATATGCATAGAAAAGAAAGCTGTTCATCCAGTCTTGTCAGGTACAGCAATAGCGTTTTCGTTAGGCTTAGTCTCCAGTAGGCATATGTCAACCAAAATTCTGCGGGCGATGAAACGATAAGACGTTTGCAGTAAAAGCGCTATTGCTGTACCTTCGTAGACGATGACGAAGACTCCTTCCTATTTCTGTCGGAGAATCATATGATATGGTAGCAAACTGAAGGTTCTCCTGGTTGACATCTCTATATTCCGTCATTTCTCTCTCTTCCTCGTGGCGTTCTGCTTTAGACAGCAGCAACTGACCGTCTTTAGATCTCTCTTATGGTGAATTCTGTTTGCAGATTTGGAGCACTTCCGGTAGTAGTTTTTTTCTGCTGCATGCGGAGCAAGTACGTTCCATTGGCAGATTGATCGAGTGTGCTCCCTGTTTCATTGGTAGATCGGCAGCAGCTCTGCCGCCATCTACACTCCACGGGGCAGTTCTCTCGATTCCTGTAAAAGCGGTGAATTCGACCGGAAGTCGAAAGCGCCCTGCGCGTGTACCACGTGACCGACGGAACGCGCTTAACGAGCACGCCCGGTGTGTCCGCTAAAACGGCACGAAACGCCAGGAATGTTGGGCGTTTTTGCAAGCGGGTGTGCGCTAGTACCCTTTGCCATTTGCTCTGGCAGGATCGCTTGTGTCTACACTCTACTTGTGTTGGAAACGAAGAGACAGAAGCTGAAGCTAAAAATGCAGTGCCCCTGAAGTACGCATTACGTTTTCACGAGCTGACACGAACGCCCTGCTTCACTGCGTGATGCGCAGCTACACACTTCAGCACTGAACCGAACCGGAACGGCGACACCGGCGACTTCACGAATGGGACCCGGAAATGAGGTTCCGCATGCCCCCTAAATTTAAACGGCAACTCACAAGTATGATCCACCGCATTCGTCTTGGTGTGGCGTACACAGGACGTTACGCACATGTCATCGGTCGCAGTGACACACTGGTCCTAATTGTAGACACTGTGATGTGCCAGAAACACTTGAGCACATATTTTGTGACTGCCCAGCATACGCACGTGAACGACAAACACTGATTTCTTCTACATAACGATATCGCAGTAGTCATTAACTGATGAGACCGTGTTGGGCCCTCTTCCAGACACCAACAGTGCAACTGTGGTCATAAGAGCGGTTATAGCCTTTTTGGAAGCAACTGGATTATATGCGCGGCTATAAAAGTTTTCTCAGCTAGAAAGAATTCTATATACTCACCTCTCTATCTCACCATCGTCATCCATTGGTCTTTCTTCTCCCCTTTCCCCTCCCTCACTGTAGAATAGCAGGCTATCGCCCAGGCCGACCTCTCTGCCATTCTGTAAATAAACCTCTCTCTCTCTCTCTCTACTTGTGTTCTATATTATAAGATTTTCTGAGGTTGCCCTTTGCCTGAGCGGAGAGATCTGACGAATACGCCACTGAAGTGGTGTGCATTGGGTGTGCGAACGCATTTGCCACGCGTGCAAAATCACCACTAAATTGGCCCCTGCCATGTGAGCATCCCTTGTTCTATTGTTTGCTCCCTTCAACGATAATATTATTCATGAGTGGCCCAAGTCTGCGGAACGAGATCCTCGTCTGTTAGTTCTCATTAATTCTGTGCCTGACGAATAAAAACGAGCCCACATGTTTCCGCTTCTTTTCTTATCATATAAAGGTTTTGTCGCCTGAAACCCCCCAAACTATTGAGTACCATCAGTTGCTATTCACATTAACGTCACTGAAGGGGTTGACAACTGCAGTAAGTAAACCCAGGGAACGCTTCCTCCACGCCACTCATGCAAGGTCGCTGAAACCTGGTGGTGGAGGTGGAAAGCATTTATTAATATATTTACAGTAAGAGGTATGGATGGGGCGAGTCTGAAGGGCCTGCCCTTCACAAGCACTAGAAGGGATCTGTAGTCCGGTATCCCTGTACACCTGCCGTGGCGGCGCGGGCTCCATAGCCACCAATGCCTTTTGTGTTTGGAGGTCAGAGCAGCCGAGCACGTCAGCTTCCCAGTCCTCTCAAGTGGGGTGGGCAGGTATGACTTTATGTGCATGCCCACACCGCGTGATAGGTGTCACAAGACTCCTCCGCACAGTGTGGGCACACGTCCGTAAAGGCCTGAATTGAAATACCTAATAGTACTTCCGGGTACTGTTACACAGTATTGGTGAAAAAGCGGGGAACCCAGCCCACCTCGACCCTGGTGAGGCCTTTAGAGATGGAAGTAGTGATATAGACCATGAGAGGATTGATAAAGAGAGGTTATCTCTCTAAAGGCGACAGCCGGATTGAAGTTGGGTTCCGGAGCCGGCTGCGGATGAGGCGACTTGTT